ACATTTTGAACATTTGTGTCATTCTGCATGACCAAAAACTATTTTTAAATGATAATATATTATTTAGCCAACTTGACACTTAGACCCTTGCCATGCCATGCTTTAATTGCAAAAAAAACAAAAATTACGTCCTTGGGACGTACCGAGTATATCTGCTTTAATTTTCCCAAATAAGTAAGAGACTGGACGTACCCAAAACTCCCGATAAAGGTCTGGGACGTTCGTACCTATGTGGGACCCGAAATGGACGTCCTGGGTACCTCTTGTGCTATCTGGGTAGTCAAAAACAAAAATTAAATTAAACTTATTTTGAAAAATCTGGTGGCCCAGAGAAATTTGCAGAAATATTCTTCCTCAGCACAGTTTACTGCGGTGGTCTAAAATCAAAATTAATTTGTTTTAATGTGTGGAAAAATAGTATTGGCAGTGCTATAAACAAAAATAAGTTATGCATACCATGGGCCATAATTATTATTAGTTTAAACTTTACCTATTTATACCTATAGGTATTCTTAGTGGTTAATAATTTGGTTTATTATCTTTACTTGATTTAATGTAGGAATTTGTATTGTAAATTTCTTTGGTTTTGTTGTTCAATGCAGATACAAGTCTCTGGTAACCAGAGCCTGTTTCTGTGTTTGTCTCTTTTGACCTTGGGGTTCCGAGATTCTGTTTCACGCTTAAATCCGTCATTGCTAAAGGCATCCTGTAGTTTTGAAGGGAAAAGAGCTTATAACATTCTAGGTTAATACCACTTTAGAGTCCGCTTGACAAAATTTAACATTTCTAACGATTTTAGTCTTTTCCCTAAGATTTAAAATTCCCAACCTCAAAAACACGTCAGTGTCACTGAGGAATCCATGGAAGTACCTGATTGTCTTACAATCCTCCCTTGATCTACAATAGGTCCTTCGAAGAAGAATAACCTTTATTGCCAGTGGAAATCTCCTGTGTCTTTCATGTCATGCTATCACTGAGGATTTTGGTATTGGAATACTGATGACAGCTGACATGTAGTTTTCAAGATTTTAAGGTATTTCTGTTTATTTTTATGCTGAGTGTATATATATATATATATATATATATATATATATATATATATATATATATATATATATATATGTTACTAAAGTAATTTGTTAATAGTTCCTTCCTATTTCTGACTTCCTGTCGAGTTTATCACGACTGGTGCCCCCTATTATCCTTTTATTTATTAAAATAAATACTATCTTAAACCCCGTCCTAGCGCCGACTACTATGAGCAAAACAAGGTAAGTAACTTAAAATTGTCATGCATAATTATATACAGGGCTTCCCAAAAGTCCCGGGACGGAGCTATAACTTTTGAAGGAGTGAAGAAAAAAAATTGAAAATTTGGGGATCACTTTAGGATCATTACATTACATTCTTAGATAGTTTAGAACTTCCATACAACTTGGAGTTTTTTAGGGGATGACCACCCCAATATTTTAAAAAGCAACCCCTGTCGGGTTTCACCTTATTTTAAACGTAATTTTATTAAAATCGTAGTAAACGTGCAAAAAACATTAAAACATTTTATTTTCCCATTTAACCCATCATAATTCTTGAAACATATCGAGTTTTAGTTTATGGGGATGTGTTTCTTTTTTCATTTACTTTAAAATAAGGTAAAACTCAAAAGGGGTTGCTATTTAAAATGTTCGGCTGGTCATCCCCTAAAATAACTCCACTTTGCAAGAAAGTTCTAAACTATCTAAGAATGTAGTTTTTATGATCCTATAGTGATCCCAAAATTTTCAATTTTTTTCTTCACTCCTTTGAAAGTTATAGCTCCGTTCCGGTACTTTTGGGAAGCCCTGTATAATTATACGTGGACCAAAATTCATGTATGGTCATACATGGGCAAAATTCATATATGATCATATATAATTATATGTAGACCAATATTCATGTATGATCATACATGGGCAAAATTCATACATGATCATATATAATGAAAATATATATAATTATTTATGATCATATATATTTTTTACCCGATTATAGATGTTGTGACTGGCTGTCAATGAAGAATTCGTCTTACAATGGTATTATATTCTGTAATTATATTTAAACAAAAGAAATTGTACATGATGTAACCGGTTGCCACTGAAGAATACGTCTTAAAATAGCATGTTTTTTGTAATATTATTCTGGTACAAATAATTGCCTTATATAAAAAAATTGGGCATTTTTTTTATTGTTATAATAATTGTTATGATTGCTATATCCGGCTGCCATATATAATAATGATCATTTGGGGGTATAAATTAAACTCAAAAAAATTTGATGCTGGTATAAATAGTTTTTTTTATGTAACTAAAATATCCAATTAAAAAAACTAATTAACATATCATTTACAAGTGCAAACCGGCTGGCACTTTTTTCATGAATAATTTGACTTGAAAAATGTTTGATATCTTTTGCAGCCTGGTATGAATCGTTTGTATATCGCGTTTTTCTTAATGTTTTTAAGTTACTAGCAGGTACTGTGTCCGCTGTATAACATATAACACGTGTTTGGCAATGCAGTGGCGCGTATTCAATATTACAACTACGCCCACATGCGTCGAGTCTTGCCAACTTACACTTCCAAAGGATTTATTTCTTATAATTGGTCCTTCAAGATGAACGTATGAGACGTTCTCTAAAATGTGTTATACTACGTCTTGGTCTATAAGTAGGCATTATCTTAACGCAAAGGCCATTTACAGGGTGTCACCTAATAAATTGTCATCCTTTGGGAGGAAGATAGTACACGCAAAAACAAGAAAGTTTTTCCTTTATCATTTTTGCATTAAAGCTTCTGTTTTTTAATAAAAAAATTATGAAATTTTTTTGTCAAAACCAGGGAGCCACTGGATGTCACTAATCTATCCTATATATCATCATTGTTTTGACCTCTAAAAACAATAATATTATTCATTCAAGTAAAAAATAAACAGGTATGCGTACAGTGTATTATGTAATATCAAGCAAACTTTTAAACTTATTTAGTACTTTGTTATCATTGATTATGTACTGATAGTTCGATTGTTATTGTGATTTCTCTGGGGCTACATGAACAGTTTAGTGTACCAACGCGAAGTTGACACATTAGAACAACTCCGCGAACTTGTCACTGCAGCGGCAGATGAAATCTGAAATCATCCTGATACTTTGAGTGGATAATTGAACATTTATTATAATTTTGTGGAACATTTGAAACCACGGAAACTTCGAGATACCTAACAATAAAAAGTAAGTATTGTTTTATTTAAAGAACCTAAAAATAGCTGAGAATGCAAAACAAAAAACAATTATCAACAAGTTATGAGTGATGACACAAATGTAAATTTTTAATAAATGTAGAGTATTGCCCACTGTGCAAGCATGTTTTAGTAATTTGTCGTAGGTCAGGAACAACCAGTGGCGGCTCAAAGTTTCTACTTTACTTATAATAATTTTAATAATTTTTTTATTAAAAAAATGGCCATAATGGAAAAATGATAGAGGAAAACAAAATTTCAAATTGATACACTGAATTGTTCAGCAAATCAAAAATCGCTGATAGCACTAAAACTTTTTCGACAGCTGACAACAGACTAAAGATCGGATATGGCTACCAATTTGCACAACACAAGAAGAACAAAAATTCCCGTTACTTTCTGAACACACAACATAATATGTTGTGTGTTCAGAAAGTAACGGGAATTTTTGTTCTTCTTGTGTTGTGCAAATTGGTAGCCATATCCGATCTTTAGTCTGTTGTCAGCTGTCGAAAAAGTTTTAGTGCTATCAGCGATTTTTGATTTGCTGAACAATTCAGTGTATCAATTTGATATATATATTATATAAATTTATTTAAAAAAGTATGTTTTAGTCCTTTAAACACTGGAAATTATTGAGGGGGCAACCTCATATTGTTTTTCCTCAGGTCCACTTTAGTCCAAGCTCCGGCCCTCCGTGTTAAAAAATTATGGAATATGCGAATATGGCTTTATTTATCATTAATGTTTTTTATGTAACAAAAGATGACAGCGATTTTCCTAATGGGGAAAAAAATGACATTTTGCCTTTTACTGGATGATATATGAGAATTGGTGGAATTTTGTATTTTTTAAGTATAAAACTTCCAGGACCTCCTAGGAGTGAACTACACTTTATGATTTTATTTTAATCTTTATTTAGTAAAATAATTATAAGCACAAATTCTTTATTTACATATTAGTCTTTTATCTATTTTAGTTTTTTAACAAAAGGAACGAAAGTGGACGATTAATGGTTAGTTTCTTGAAGCTTATCCTAAATACTCAATGTTTTAGAAAATGTTTTTTGACGAGGATTTTGCCAAGAAGGTTAAGTACTATTACTTTTATTTTTATTCTAATAAAAAAATCTGACGTTGGGTTTTTTCTATTAGACAACACTCTAATATATAAAGAAAATGGACCTGTTCTTCGAACAGTATTCAAAAGCATTTAAGAAGCTGCGATTTATCATGATTTATGATGATGGTGCACCATTAGATTTTCTTCTTATTCTTTCTTTCGTGTTAGTTAGTTAGTTTGATTGTATATAAGATTAAGTCAGTGAAAATTAAAGAAATTAAATAAAATATTGATTGCATTAAACAGTGTTTAATAGCCTTTAAGAAAATGTGATTTAAAATCATTGGAATTCTTCTTTTTATAAAGTGTTTACAAGTATTGCGAATTGCGACATCGAATTTACACTTTTATAATTCTTAATTAATAGAAGCTGCCATTTAATCTTTTATAATTTAGAATTTAATTACATAAAAAAGAAAAATGTTTTTATAAAATTTAATACTTTTATTTCTGTTAAATAATAATAATTATATGGATAAATTAAAATTTTAATTAAAAAAATAGTTTGTTACTTTTTTCTTATTGTGCAGGATAAAAATAATATATTAGCATTATTTGGTGTTTAAAAAATGATAATAAATATATATACTATAAAATACTTGTAAATACCTGAAAGATATGGGGATACTTGATTCCAAACACCAATCGCTCCTTTTCTGAGTCTTTGTCCTATAGCCAGTTCTAAATAAAAGATCGGTATTCCCTCAATGCAAAGCATAATAAAATACGGAATAAGAAAAGCACCTCCTCCATTTTTCTGCGCCAAATAGGGAAACCTCCATACGTTACCCAAACCCACGGCATATCCAACAGTAGCAAGAAGAAAAGTAAGTTTACTGTCCCAAGATTCTCTTTCCTCTTCAGCGCATTCAGGTTTAAAAATCGCCTTACCATCCTGGGAGCCCCTTTTGCTGCTACAAGCGGATTTTATTTTTTTTGTGTTCGGGCTTGAATCTTCGAAGGCTGCATTTGTGGCTCCGTAAACTTTTCGTTCGGTGCTTCCATTTTCTACGACTAGACGTCCTTTCATTTCCTTAAGCTCCAGACGGTCTATGGACCGTTGAGGGTTCAAGTCCCGCGAACTCTGTCTACGCACTAAGTGTGCGGTGTTCGCCATTGTTGTGATGGCACCTTGTGTAATCCTAAATATTATTGTCTTTGTGGGATGCCATTTTGAGCTGCAAATAGATTTGAATTATGGAATTTGCTTGTGGTTTAATTGAACAATAGTACTTTACTAAATCTAAATCTAAATATTTGCTATTGTTATTTTTTACTTAATTTAATAATTAGTATAAATATAAAAACACTCACCATAAATTATGTTAATTTTTTTAAATTTAAATTAATTGGTAATGAAACAAAAACAGAATATAATAATATCATATCGATGACTTTCTGCCAAAGTATCGCAAGCAACATAATTCAAATTTCGGGAATTGAAAATATTTTTTGTTTTAAACCATATACAGGGTGAGTCAGGAGGAACGGACCAAACTTCAGGAGTGTATTATACACATGAACATAATGTAAAAAAGCTCATATGTTCTTCTCAAATTATAGCGTAAAACAAAAGTTCATACATTAACGTTATTTTAATAAATGTTCGAAAATAAAGCAAATGTAAACAAACTTATATGAAAATAATGTAAACAAACTCATATGTTTTTATCCGATTTTTAATTGTTTTCAAATTATAGCGTAAAACAAAAGTTCACACATTAACGTTATTTTAATCATAGCGTTCTTTTAATAAATGTTCAAAAATAAAGCCATTGACCTCTAAACATTTTCTGCTTCGTCTACGAAGAGTGCCTGTTGTTCTCCTAATTGATTGACGTCTGTCTTCTTTAATAACGGCTGCAGTATTTTGAATACGTCGAATTAGGGCATCACGAGTGTCCACTTTTACTTTATACACCTCATTTTTAAACCAGCCCCATAAACAATAGTCTAGTGGTGTGAGGTCTGGGGATCTTGCAGGCTAATTAATAGGACCACCGCGACCAATCCAACGCCCTGGAAATCTTTCGTCCAAATGTTGCTTAACCTGACGGGCGAAATGTGCAGGAGCTCCATCGTGCTGGTAGTACATTTCCATTCTGATGTTTGGAGTAACATCCTCTAGTAGTCCTTGTAACTCGTTTAGTAGAAAATTTAAGTAGTTATCTCCTGTGAGGAGATTCTCCAAGATGAAAGGGCCAATTAAATAATTATCGAGCATACCACACCACACGTTTACAGAAAACTTATGTTGAAAATTACTTTCGACTGTTGCGTGGGGATTTTCGTCTGACCATACATGAGAGTTACAAGTATTATTAATACCGTCACGAGTAAATGTTGCTTCATCCGTAAAAAGTAAATGCGTGTTGTAGATGATTATTATTTATCCACCGACAAAAGTCCATGCGTTTAGCATAATCTTCCGGTTGTAAGTGTTGTACATGGTATGGAGGTAATCCTTGCTCGTGGAGGGTGTTTATTACTCTTTTTTGTGGGATGGCCAATTGGGTAGCATTTCTTCGTGAGCTGGTCGTTCATCTTCCTCTACTAAATCCAGAATATTTTCTACTTCTTTTAAACCTTGTCGAGTAGCTCGTTCAGATGTTATGCTAGCACTATGAAGCTTACCGGTCTCGCACAATTTGTTAAAAACTCTGATAAATACGTTTTTATTAGGATGTGTTTGATCTGGAAACCATTGACAATATATTCTTCAACAGCAGCTGTAGCATTTCCATTACAGAAACCATAAACAAACACCATATTTGCATATTCTAAATTTGAATAAGTGTTTGGCATTTTGAAATCATACAATTTCGAAAATGAACGTTCAATCACTGTCACAATAAATTGACACACTATCAAAACAACAAAGTCATAAAATATTTTTGAGCCTCAAACATGGCATACTCTGATTATGCGAAAATGTACATAATAAGTAGAACGCTAGATAAACAGTTTTAATTACGCTATAATTTGAAAACAAATAAGAATTGGATAAGAACATACGAGTTTTTTTACATTATTTTCAAGTGTTAAATACACTCCTGAAGTTTGGTCCGTTGCTCCCGACTCACCCTGTATAACCTATAGGTTTTATAACAAGTAAATAGCTGTAATTATAAGCTAACTAATTACTTATTATAAAACCTTTAGGCTATAATTAATTTAAAACAGACAAACAAAATGTGCAATACTTTGGCAAAAAGTCATCGATATTATGGTATACAAAAATAAAAGATTTTTTTTTTAAATAAAATTGTACTAAACAAATGTCAGAGAATGTAAACTAAAAGTCTTAATAAGGTTCATCAAACCTTGGTTTTCGATTTGTATGCAACAATTATAATAATTATTGTAATAAAACCAAGGTTTTATAAACCTTATTAAGCCTACTTTTAATTCACATTGTTTAACATTTGTTTTAACAATTATTGAAAAGCAAACTAAACTAACGTCTAAGGTTTGGTATTAAAGTTTATAATTCATTTAAGACTGCAATATCAATTTTTTTATTATTATGTTTGATAAAACGGACATTTAGGTAAATAACGCCATCGAAACTTGGGGAGGGAAGCAAAGAAAGAGGCAGAAAGTTTTCCGAAGTGTTAGCGAACGGATCGTCTTCGTAATTCTTTGCTAAAACGACAATTATTGTAAAATTCTGTGTAAACAAATGTTACGAGTATTGTGTATTCTCCAAGGTTAGTTCTTAATGTTAGTAGCCCAATTATGTAGTAAAGTCCACTAAAAGTAGAACAATTTAGGTTTAAATAAACTGATCATTAGTTATTTTGCACCACTACGTTTAGTGAATTTTACCCGATATTAACACCTTTTGTTTTAGCTATCACTACACTGTCCCTGTAACTCACATGTTTAGACCTTCCCCAACACGATTATGCATTTTTTGTGGTAATTTTAAAACAAATATCGGTGTAATACAGGACGTTTCGTTGGAGAGTATTGACCCTTAATTTTAAACTTTGAATACTCCTTTTTCTTTAGCACGTATTTGCAGTAGATACTAAAATGCTCCAAACCGTGAGGAATAACTGGTCACCTTGGTTCTCTAAGTGGCATCGCAAATTTTATCCCGAACCTTTACGCGAGTTGCTTCCAATGTGAACCTCGTTCTCCACGGGGCAACGTTAACGTTGACAGACTAACAGTTAACTATCCTGTTAAACTAACAACGTTTTTCCTATTTTTGAACCTGTAGGGGTAGATAACGTAACGAGCGTCGTGTCATTCCATTGATTTGCTTAAACTTTTAAAGAAACAATGCCTAATCGTGTAATCCTTTGCTACTTCATAGCCGAACAGAGTTTTTTCTCAAGCTCTTTTTCTCTGGTCGTATCTCCCTAAGAGTCATCCCTTGCTTTTTTGTAAACTGTTTGTAAAGTAAATTAAATTGGGATAAACTAAACACTGTATTTTATTTTTTTGTATACCTAATTCTCCCAAAAGTAAATACTCAAACCCCCTTTCCACAAGTAAAGTTCGTACGTGCCGGAACACCTCCTCCTCCAGAGGACGTGCACCGAAATACTCTCCAATTTGTACAGTCTGCACCTTTAAGCCCCTTTTCAACTTTTTAAACTGTATCCCAAGGGAGTGTTTTTAATAATCAAAATGGATTGGTCTTTTGAAACTAGTTAAGGAAAAGTCGGGAGGTGATTCGATATTACAACCTTTAGAGCTTGTGCATGTAAATACTAATTTAAGTCTATTTAAAACCATTTCGCAAAATTTAGGAGCGTATAACGTTAAAAGACTGATAACTAAAGACCGGATTTTAAGCATGATGCTTATTGCTTAATTTTTTGCTTTTTTTAAGGTTTTATGCTTTTTTTCGATTTCGTGCTTATTTAAACTTTTTTCCATATTTTTATACATTTTTTTTAATTAATTGTTTCGATTTTTACTTGATGAAACTTCATGTTAATAATATGTTAATTAAGCGGGCAGAAAAAAATTACCTAATCAAATTTTAACCTCAATTTTTTCTTGAACCTCTTAATGAGACCATTTTTTATTAGAAATATAGCTTGATTTTTTAAGAACATATTTAACCCATTTCGAAATAATATATAGAATTTATTTATATCTTATACAGGGTGGTTTGTGTAGATGAAACAACTGACACATGTGGAAGATATATAGCCAACTTAATTATAGGAGTCTTAAATGAAGATATCGTCACAGAAGGATTAACAAAAACGAATAATAACACTGTTTCTAGATTTGTTCTTGAGGAATTAAACAAGTTTTTTTTGCCCGAGGTGGTTCCGAATGAAAAAATTCTATTGATGCTTTCGGATGCTGCAGCATACATGAAAAAAGCTGCATCAAATTTAAAGGTTTTTTACTATAATTTAATACATTGTACCTGCTTAGCTCATGGGCTTAACCGCATAGCAGAAATTATAAGATTGCAGTATCCGTTGGTCAACACATTAATAAAAAATGGCAAAAAAATATTCATAAAAGCTCAATTTTTTAAAGACAGATTGCCTGATGTTCCATTACCTCCAGAACCAATTGTAACAAGATGGGGAACTTGGCTAGATGCTGCCATGTACTATGCCGATAATTTTACAGAATTTAAGAGATTGTTACTTGAATTTGAAGGCACAGAAAGCAAAGCAGTTCAAGAATGTCAGGAAGTTGTAAAAATACCTGAACTTGCACACAATTTAGCTTTTATTAAAAGTCATTTTAAATTTGTAAGTCAGAGTATTCAGCTATTGGAAAAACAACAGCTACCTTTATTGTAATCCGTCAATGTTATTAAAAGTTTTGAAGCTGCAGTAAATACTATTCCAGGATCTATTGGTCAAACAATTAAAGAAAAATTGGTCCAGACTCTCTCGAAAAATTCAGGGTTCCAAACATTGAAAAGAATATCTATTTTAATTGGTGGGCAAGATTCCGATTTTGAAATGGATCCAGCCATTATCCCGAAATTTAAATATGCACCAATAACCAGTGTGGATGTGGAGCGAAGTTTTTCTGCATACAAAAACATTTTAACAGACAGAAGACATAATTTTACTATAGAAAATTTGGAGAAACATCTAGTTATACATTCCTTTAGGTCTTAATAATAGATATAATGTAAAAATAATAAAATGTATCATTTAAATAGTAAACACCAATATTAAGATTA